CAGGTTAGGAGATTACTTGTCTTGTTCTTTAACTTAAAGCTAATTAATCAAATGTTTCATCATTATGTATAAAATTTACTGTAGGTTCCTGTAAAATAGTCTTTATGAAATTAGGAAACTTTCTTTTATTTCTAGATTATATATTTTCTGTTTTTATTTCATCTCTGTGTGTGTGTTAAATTTATTTTAGAGAATTCATTGTTATTACCAAATTTACTTTCCCTTATGTAGTGAAATGTATAAATTTTTTGAGGTTAAGCTAATCTAGAATTCATGAAAGAAGTCTCAATTGATCATGATGCTTTATTTTATTTACAGAACATTATCTTATAGATTTTTGGATTTTTTGCTTCTGTGTTTATAATACTCAGCTGTTTTAAATTAACAAGTTAATTTGTGAATTTTGGTAATAGGTTTTGCTAGTCTCAGAAAATAAACTTTGTAGCATCTGACTTTTTTTTTTTTTTTGGCTACCTACTTATACAACTTAGTAATTATTCATTACCTAAATTTTAGCAAAGTTTCCCTTTATAGACTGCAGCATCTCCAAGTTTTTATTATTTAAATTTATTTTGTTTATTGAATTTTTTTTTCTTAAGACAATCTGGGTAACTTATATTTTTCTAGAAAATAATGTGTTCATTTTAAATTCCCATGTATTTTGGCATAAATCTGTACATAGAATTCCAGGTAGGTTAATGGCAACAAAAGATCTGTTCTTATACTGAGTCTTACAATAATTTGGTGCTCTTTTTAAAGATCCAGAAGATTATCTCTTAATAGTCTTTACAAATTGCCGCAGTCTGGCTGGGCACAATTCAGGAGCCACTTGTCRAAAGAAACGAACTTTATTTTTAGAACACACACTGCACCACACAGCTCTTCAGGAGTTCCTCAGAGCCCAACTGCCACCACAGGCTTCCCACAAGCCTCTCAACCTCCCCTGCTCCTCCTGCTCTTGAGGCCGATTGGCTGGGTCACGTGGGCGGAGCCAAAAAAGTCCCCCAATGAGCAGCTCCGTGGTCTGAAAGGGCGGGGAAACAGCCCAATGAGCATCACTGCAGTGGAGCCAATCAGTTGGCAGCTAGAAATTTGCTGGCAGCTGGAAGTTTGCTGGGGCCCCTTGGGCTGTGGTTCTCAACAACAGATAGTATTTGGTTTTATTTTATTTATTTTTGATTATATCTACAATATTTGTGCTTCATATCTCATGAGTATTATCTTCTGTTGTCTTTATTAATCCTTTTCTATTGTGTCATTTGTTGCTCCTTTTCTAGCTGCAGTTAAAAGTCTACATCATATTACTTTATTCTTTTCTAATATGGACATAAGTATTTAAATTTTCTTTTATGTTTCAGGGATCATAATGTGTCATGCCCTCATTGTCACATATTTATTTATGAATTTTCAGTTTTGGTTTTCTTTTCAATGGTTTAGTTTTCCTTTTATTACTTTTTAAAAATAATAATAATACAATGAATATAATAAATAAGTAACAAATTTATTATGTATAGTTACTATAGTGAAGCAACTTGCCATATTCATTATTTCACAGTTACCCAGGGTTTTTTTTTCCTGTTATATAACAAGAGCATATACGACTTACTTATTTAGCCAGAATTTCAAATACAGTATAATTTTATTAACAGTATTCTTAATTTCTGATTTTATTGCATTATGTTTAGATAAAGTAACTTCTTGGAATGGATTATTTCTAAGGTTTTCAATATTGAGATATTCTTCATGACTTAATCTATGGTAATTTAAAAATTAATATTAAATATGTGTTTGAAAAGAATATAAACACATCAATCAGTATATTCAACTAAGGTGGTAATTCTAATATTTAAGCCTAAAGATGCCTTACTTATTGATTTTTTGGTTGCTCTTGTTGATGTCTGAGCAGTGTTATCACCAAGCATTCAATTGACACCAATAGTTGTTTCATATATTTAAAGCTATGTTTCTAAAACTTTATTATTTTTAAATTCCTCGGTAGATTTTAATGTTACTGTAATGTATTACTTTTTAAAATACTTATTTTTTTGTTATGTTTCCCCCTTACTTTGTCTATTTTCAGATTTATCTTTTGCTTTAGCTCTGTATTTTCTCAATAGCACATTGCTAATTTTTTTTCTTTTTTTTCTCTCAATAGGGGAAGCTGATTCAAGCATGTTTATTATAATCATTAATTAGTTTCGACTTACTTTACTTGGGTTTAAAAAATGTTTTTTTTATAATTGTAGGTGGACAGAATGCCTTTATTTTATTTATTTTTATTTGGTGCTAAGGACTGAACGCAGTGCCTCACACATGCTAGGCAAGTGCTCTACCACAGAGCTACAGCCCAAAGCCACTTTCCTTGTTTTTTGATAATTTTTTACTTCTCATGCTTTTTATTAGGATTCCTTCCTCCTATATCCTCCCACTCCATGCCTTCTTTCCTCTTCTCCACTACATTTCCCCCTTCTATTCCCTTTTTCTCAATTTGTTTGACATTTGTACATCTTATTTATATTAACCTAATTACTTCCTTTCAAGAGTTAAGAAACATACTAAAATTTTTGCCTTTGGAGTTGATCAGTATCTGCTGTCTGTCTTGATGAATTCAAGAATCTCGACATATTATTTTTCCTTTCCTACTGTTCCTTGCCTTCCTGTACTTCTTCCATCTCTTCAACTAAGTTTTATATTGAGATAATAAGGAACTATGTGGGCAGTAATGTTGCACAGTATCCATATTCTACTTGAGAGACTAACCTGAGTATAGATCAGTAGTACCAATAATTTTGTCTTTGAATTTTAAAAATATTGCTTAACTGCCGTTTGCAGCCATTGCTGTCTTTGAAAATATTGTGCTTGTTGAATAATCTTCATATTTAGATGCAATCTCTCCCTGAAGTTTTCTGGGAGAAATCTGTTCAACCATTTAGCTTACTTACTACTTTTTCAGTAATCTCCATTCTTCCATTCACTGCCCATTAAGTGTTTTATTTCACTGATTAAGTGTTTCATATCCACACTGCCTCATTGGTTCATTTTTTAATGCTGTGATGTCTTCTCAAAGCTTTTTGAAGGTTTGGTTATTTATATTCTAAGTTATTCTTACATTTAGGCTGTCAAATGTATCCAGGCTTTCAGTTATCTGCCCATTACATTTTATACTTCTTTTCCAGGACACTGATTTTCCTGAAATGATTTGTGATTTGTGGTTGTATACTCATCTTTGTATATAAGAACCATTATCATGATTTATTCTAGTTTCTGTAACTTACCTCTATTCTGGTTTCTGTAACTTATCTGTACTGACTCTGTGAAAGAGGCAAACAATTACAGATTGGGGGATGAGAAACATTGTCCTAGCCCTTGGTGTTGGCTTGTGGAGTCTGCTTTGCCCCTCTCCAGATACCACATTCTCAGCTGTCTCCTTTGCATATGTGCCTATGTATTTCTTGGGAAGCTGTTGTGCTCACTGGTGTAGTCACAGGTCCCTGTTGCTTTGTCTCTTAATAGTCTTCTCCTAATGTTGGTGTTTTCCCCTTAAGTTTTGATCCTGATTATGTGCTATCTTTCAGCACTCCTCAAAGTTTCTGATTAGGTATTGGCACTGTTTTCTTTTTCTCCTTCCTAATTCTGGTGTACTGTTTTTGCAAATTGTCTTCTCAGTCACTGTGTGGTGTTTATGGTGGGAAGGAGGTAAGAGCATGTATTCAAACTGCCTCATAGAGTCCTTATAAATGGTGCTAGTACTTACTCATTGCCTGGATGTCCTGTGTTTTCTCATAAATGGCATAACAGTATAGTACAAACTGTGTTCAAGCTCAGAAATAGCGTTCTATAAACTTTCTGCAAGAAGTTCCTTCATTAAACTCCTAGAATTGGTCATTTATGAATTACCACAATCGTTAACAACCTTTTTGTGAATTATATATGTACTTATAACTGTGATCAGATAATGAATTTAGTAAGATGCTTCTAATTTCTTATATAATTCTCTAATATATTTTGATATTACCCTTTTATAATACCATTAAAATTATATAATTTCCTATCTAAATAAAAGGTAAGTGGTTAAAATAGGTGTGTTAGCACAGCCAGAATGAAAAGATAACTCTTCTGGCAGTCTTTTAATTTTTATGGGTGGTAATCTTTCTAAAGGAGAAGGAATTTTGTTGAAATTAAACTGTAAGGATGAGTTCATAAGGGAGTTCCATTTTGTATATTAGCAATATCTGAATGATAAATCTTTGATTATCTATTTGTATTATTACTAAAAGGTGTTAAAGAGTACCTTTGTAAGACTGAATATTATATAGTCACGATTTACAAGAGTCAGTAAATATTTATTTCAGCATCCTCAGTTGTATGATCTCTGTTATAACTACAGCTCTGTTGTGGCTAGAAAGTAACAGATAATATGTAAATGATGAGCATGACCATTCTAATAAAGCTTTATGGATGCTAAAACTTCAATTTTTATTTAATTTTCACATATCATAAATTTTTATTCCTCCTTTGAACTATCTATCTCCACTATTAAAAAAGATAAAAACTATTCTAAACTCAGAATATACAAAAACAAGTAGAGGGCTAGATTTGACCCTGGTTCACAGTTTGTCAGCCCCTAATTTAGAAGATTATGTAACAACATGTAAAATGTTTATAATATATTAAGTAAAAAAAAAAGCAGGTATAAAAGAGTAAGTATATTAATTCCATCTCTGTAAAAGACAATTATCAGCACAATAAGAGATATCAAAATATTTACAATGATTCCTTTGTTAGATTATAAGAAAATTTAATTCTACATACATTCATTTGTAGGACTTTGGTTTTATACTGTGTGTTTATTATGTTGTTTTCAAAGAAATAAATATTCTTTTATCAGAAAAAMGTTTTTTGACAAGTGACAAAGAATATATCTTCTCAGTGAAATCAGAATACTTATTTTTAATTAATTTGATAAATTCTGTTTTGTTTACCCTCTGCTTCACTTTTAGCCAACAAGTCCCAAATTTGGAAAAGCTGACTCATATGAAAAACTGGAAAAACTAGGAGAAGGATCTTATGCTACAGTATACAAAGGGAAAAGCAAGTAAGTTCAATGGTTTTTTAATATTTCATATGTAAAATGATTCTGCTATCTTAATATTAAATAGCAGTACATTAAATAATTCCCACTTAATATACAATAAAATTATCTCCTGTCAGGATTATTTTTTTAAGGCAGTGGAATTTGCTTTCCCTGCTAGAAAACAGGTTTGCAGACTTGCCCAGTTGATCTTTCTGTATCAACCCTTCCTCCAACTTTGTTTTCTTTTCCCTCAGCAGAGTTGGTACCCTCTAATCAGAATTCATTTCCAGATGGATTATGTGATTAATTTCTCATGTAGGTTTCATGTGAAGAATAGAAATAATTATCTGAAAGAATCACATGTAATACCATCCTTGACCTTGTTTTAAAGTGAGCTTTTACTCCATTTTTCAGAAGTCTCCTATTCAAAAAAACAAAAACAAAAACGAAAATCCACCCTGCATACTTTTCTTTTTCTTTCTTTCCACCTGCCTGCTCTGGCACTGTGCTGAGYATGTTTCCCCATAGAGAAGCAGCTCTTTCCTCTGTGTCCTTTCTCTCCCCATTGGGATCCTGGGGTCAGGGCACAGAATTGGATTCTTATAAAGCTGTACCAAATGTTTCTGATGGACAATTCCCTCTCCCTTATTGACTGAGGGCAGAAAGTTACTGTATTTAGTGACATGTAGCTTGTGGAAAATTTGATGCCTTTTTCTAAATAGCCTCAGGAGAAATAAACCTTGTTCTACCTTAATAATTTTACCAGATGATGCTATAAAGTAATTTTGTAAATCATCCCTATATTTCTTTTTTAATTTTTTATAGGAAAAATAAGAGTTTCTAGGGCTCAGGTCAAGCTCTGTGGTAGAGTATTTCACTAGCATTTGAGAAGCTTGAGTTCTATTCCCAGTAATGAAAAAGGAAAAAAGAAAACAGAAATAAGACCTTCTATTTAACATTACATTTTTTAAAAGGTATTAGAAAATTCTCTGAATGATCATTCCAAAAACATAATTGGAAATTTTGACTATGTGCTAATTTATGTAATCTGGCTTTTATGGAGTATAATTTTATGTTTTTGTTCATGGTTTCTAAGTTAAGAAAATGAAGAAGTATTCCTTCTAAAAGAAGATCTGAAGGTAAAAGAATACAAAAATGCAGTCAGGTTAAAAAGAAGTAACATAAATTTTGTGAGCTATAAAAACGTTTTTAAAAAGTTCTGTTGTTTTTTTATTTGAATGAAAAGTTAATATGATGGGAAATAGTAAACAAAACCAAACCTGGAGCATTATTAATGACTTAACTGAGTTGCTTGAGAATTATTGAACATCAAAATAATGGTCTGAATGGTTGAGCTAATTTTAACAGACATAGTACTTCATAAATTTATTGCACATTCAAAGTTAATAACATGATACTAGCTCTCCTTAATTTCTCAATAATTTTGTATAAAATATAGTATATCATTTTGCCTTATCTACTCCTCATAATGCTATGATATACCCTATTACTGTTGTCTGTACTTAACCAGTCAGGAATTGTGGTGCACAAATAGGTTTAGCCATGTGCCCATTTTCACACAGTGTTTCATAGCAACACTTGATTTACATTGTGCCTATCTGGCTTGAAGTCATCCCTTGCACCCATTATACACTATTACTGCTTTTACATTGTAAAGGACTTGGAGAGATACAGTCCATGTTGAATTTTCCAGATGTTTCTCACATATGCTCTGACTTGTTTTAATAGTGACTCAAATAGAAGCAAACACCCTATTTCATTATAAGGAAACAAACCAGGTGCTTGAAGCTACCTGTTCACAAACAATGTGTTCTGCTGATCTGCAAATATAAGTTAGTAATGCTATTGAATAAATATTCAGTCTTGAACATTTATCTCAGAATCTTAGAGTCAGTTGAAAATTTTCAATTTATTATGCCTGAATTAAAAAAAAAAAAGACTTAAAAGTACCTGTATTTGAGCATGATGGTTGTGGACTGTTGATTGTTTTTACTCCAGCAGGTCTAAATTTATCTTGTCAGAATTTTTCTAAGTTTAAAGCCTGCTGGTCACATGTAGTGTTTAATTTCCTCCAGTTGAAGATGAAAACCATTGCCTACTCACCTGTTTTGAGAGATGACAGGCTGCCTGGGTTTCACTGCTTTAAGGTAGCAAAGTCAAAAGAATACCAACTGTGTAAGTGTCATGTAGCAGGAATTGAGAGCCCAGTTAATGTGTCTCTGAGGTGCTTCATAACTTAAAGAGCTAGCTAAATATTGGGACCTTGTTGTACTACTGTCCCATAATTATCTGCATCCCTGCCTCCGTCTTTAAATGCTATCTTTAGCCTCTTCCCTAAGAGCAACTTTCATTTTCTTATGATAAAGCTGCCTGGTATTTGTAGAGATTCCTGTGAGTTTTTTTAGTTTTATATACACACACACATATACATACACATATATATTCACATATTATAAAGTGTTTTATGTATATATATATATATATATATACACACACACATACACACACACACACACACCTATACACATACACACATATTTTTTATATGTATCATGTTTGGATTTAACCATAAACTTCATTGCGTTAGTTTGCTACATTTGCTATTAACAACCACAAATGGGGTGGCTTAAACATGAGTAATTTATTGTCTCACAGTTATGGAAGCTAGAAGTGCAAGGTATAGGCAGAGTTAATTCCTTCTGTGGCTCTAGGGGAGAATCTGTTTCATGCCTCTCTCTTAGCGTCTGGTGGTATGCTGGCAGTTTTGGCATTCTTGAATAGGACATGAGTTACCCTGACCTCTGCCTTCATTTTCACGTGGTAGTCTCAGTGTGTGTGCGTGTGTGTGTGAGTGTGCGTATGTGTATGTGTGTCCAGATTTCTCCCTTTGATCGGGACCTCAGGACCTCATTTTAACTCCATATCGCTATAAAGACCTATTTTCAAGTAAGGTTACATTCTGAGACAGTAGAGCATAGGGTTTTAACCTGTCGTCGTCGTCGTCTTCTTCTTCTTCTTCATCTTCTTCTTTTTTTTTTTTTTTTTTTTTTTTTTGAGGTCACAGTTCAATCCATCACAGGTATTACTTTGAAACCTTCCTAACCTGGCATTGCAGTTATGACATTTTTCTTTTCCTACCTGTGCTATATATTAGCTGTCCTTTAGCTCATGGTTCTTCTTTATGCAATGTAAACAAAGCATATTACTCTCAACATGAGGTTGGTGTTAARTCTTGATTTTGGAATAGTTGTAACTAGCCATTGTTTAGAAACTTGGGGGATAGAAAGGATTTTTATTAGTCAGTTCTTCTGGGTCTTATAACTCCTGAAGGAACAGATGCATTGGGGAACACTTGACTGAGATTCCTATTCAGGTAGCTTGCTTGGTGGTAATGAGCTTGGCTTCTAAAGAATGCTTGGCTGACTGTAACCACATCCACAAGCAGCACTCACAAATGCTCTTTATTTATTTTTTTAAAAAGCTTTGAACTTACCACCTTTTCATGTTTGAGCAGATAGTTGTTTTGTTTTGACCAATATTTGTTAACTCGTTTTTACATTCCCTGTGTAAGTTTGTGTGTGAATATATTTGGGGGAAGAGAGGCAGTTTATTGTTGTATAGGAGTCAATTTCTGTCCTTGTTTAATTTTCTGATTATGTTCTCTTTTCTAAATTCCTGTGGCATTTAATATAGAGTTTAACGAAAAACATGCATTGTACATTTAACATTTCAAAAATATATGACATTCTAAAAATATCTTCTTTATTTTTTGGTACTGGGGATTGAACCCAGGAGCAACTTAACCATTATGTCACATCCTCAGTCATATATTCATATATATTCCCCCTCCCCCTTAGAGACAGGGTCTCACTAAGTTGCTGAGGCTAGCCTTGAACTTGTGATCTTCTTGCCTCAGCATTCTAAAATATCTTTAATTCAGCAATTTGGATCATCGTTTTGCCTTTAGTTGTCAGGGACTTGTATACATTGAGATTTGTCAATATTTTTGAAACTTATTCAATGAATTATGAACATTTATTATGTTTTCTCTAATTATACCCTTTTAAACTCCAGGTAAGAAGAGGTAACTCAGATGTGCATTTTACCACCAGTAAACTTAATCTTGAAGAGATGGTACATATAACATAAAAATTCTACCTAAGTTAGAATCTTGCATATTTTATATGAGCTAGAATGTAATAAGAAAGGCTCAGGTAAAATGGTGTGGGGTTTCAAAAGGAAGAAGGTACATGTGTTCTCTCCAGTGGTGACTGAATGAGTTCAGAGGCCACAACCTCCTCTGCTTGCAAATCAAGTCTCCCTCATCATGGTGTGTCCTTGTTGGATCCTTATTATGGTGTCCTTTGGTGACTTGAATGTCCACATTTCCCCAGGAAATATAACGAAATTTTTACTTTTTGTTTGTTAGACTAAATTTGTTGATCCCGAGTGTTTTAAAGTTAAAGAAGACTGATTGTTTTTGTGCAAATATTGATTAAGCATTTGAGTTTTAAAGTGGAAATGGCTTTAAGCAATGTAGTTTGGAAGGTTAGGTGTTTTGTTTATATTTGGGCATCTATGTATACCTGGCTGTTTTAAATAATGGCTAAGATCACCTGTTACCTCAACTTCTAAAAGTCAAAATGTGGAGACCCACATTTTCCTGGGTGCACTGGGATCCTCAGGTGGATTACACCTGAGTTCCCCCTAATCCCAGATGCAAGTTAAAACTGTGGATTTTGCTCTCTCCGGCTGAATCAGGGGCATGCAAGATTAGTTGCTTCTGATTTCTTAGGCTTTGTGTGCCATTTAGAGGAAGAACAACTTGCCCTTTGTTCTGTGTCTAGAAAAGGAATATTGGCCTAACTCAGTCTAAGTCATCCCTACAGATGGTCCTAATCGCTGGTCATTTTCTCTACTTATCTTCAGTTTCTGTTGAGGTGAAGATGCCAAGGCCTCATCTCCTGGAGGACCCTCCTGTGGTGAGCCTGCCTACACTG